GGTTACCATTTCCTTCTCCGTTTAACTACAGAGCACGGCGGTGTTACAACCAATGACGCAGAACCGCCCCCACGACCACCACCACCACCCCGTAATCCAATCTGGGAAATTAATTCCCCTTTTTATCAAGGCCGGCTCAGTATGACTCCAGCAGCCCAAGTCTCCCGCCTGCCCTGCACCAGCTTGTGCCTGCACCTGGGGAGAAGAGAGTGCTGCCCTTGAAGCAACAGACTGAGGATCAGCCCTTGGCTTGCTTTCCCTTTGCTTTCCCTATGGCTTAGTGCAACGATGCTGGAATCGTAGGTGTTTGAGGAAGGGACAGCGAGGGCTGTACAAACAGCTCCCCTTCCTTTGCGACGCTCTGTAGCCGCTCCAGCGTGACCGATGTGGTGCTCCCTACATACGTGGTACGCTGTCAATTCCCATTTCTTGACCTCATCTGAAAAAAGTAGCTAGAAAACAGGCAGCGTGAAATGAGCTGCTGATGCTGGAATGATGCCTCTGGCCTTCAGCCCATGCCCAAGAGGTGTGAGGAAAAGAGGCTGCTCAGATGAGACCGTGGACTAGACAGGTAGTCCTGGGCAGGGTGTGCAGAGCCCCCAAAGCCACGGGCTGAGTGAGCGTGGCAGTGCTAGCACATAGAGTTAGACTCCAGCGCACCACAGCATGCTCTCCTGCTAGTTACTTTGCATTTGCCAACTTACAGAACAAAATTTCTTTTTATTTATGTTCCTTGACAAGGACAGATAGAGAAAAGCGTTCATCTTCCAGGGCTTCTCTTGGACCTGCATTTCACTGGCAAGTATTTCCAAGGGCAAAAGTTGAGGTTATTCTCAGCTGCAGAAAATCTCATCACTTCCACAATTAATTACAATAAAACTTCTGCTGGTGGAGAAAATGCTCAAAAATGCTGAATTAAGATGGGAAAACTTCTTTTTTATATTAAAAAAATCGTAATTATTCCTGCATAGAACTTCTTTCACACTTTCCTCGTGCCCTCGTTCATCAAATTGTCAGGAAATGTACCATATGGAGGAAAAAACCCCAAACCCTCCCATTTTCAATCTCATCAAAGTGTTGCTACTATACAATTTTGAGAAAAGTGGATTGCAGGAGACCCCATAGGAAAATCCTGCCAGGGCTCCTCTGACTTGTCCCCTCTGTTACTGTGCAATACTTCCTACCTCCTTGCTTATCTTAGCCCCAGTTGGCCCTGGAGATTTCGGAGATCCAGGCTAATGGGTCACCTGAAGTACATGATACTATGCATGAAACAATTCCCCTTTATTCATGCAGTGTACCTCCTTTCTTTTCTGAATAGCGGTTAACCTGTGGAGTTATTTGTTTGCTACCTACCAAATAAAAAGAGGGATAGGGGATCAGCGTCAGCCAGTCTGTAAAACAGGTGCAACTCCTGCCTATTCTTTTGTAAGGCAAGTGAAGCATCTTATTTTTAAACACTCACATCTTTGGCTGCTCCTGCACAGCTGTTCTGTCTGAAGAATAAGTTGTTACTGGGATGAATGAAGGAATCAAAAATGTAGTAACATTTTGATTATTCCTATGATGTCTCTCCCCAGTTCTTTTCCTCCTTCTTTGTTTTTTGTTTTTTTTTTTCCCCTGTGCAGGAAAGTGGTTGAGCTGCCTAAGAGACGGTTTGGAGTTCCTCTTGACCGGATTGGAGTGAGCCGTCTTGGCAACACCAAGGGTTAGCAGTTCCTGCAAGTAAGCCAAAGTACTCTGGGTGTGGGCAGACTGGGAAAACCCCACCTGTTCTCAGTTACATGGAGGTACTCATGTCATGCCGGTAGGCTTGGAAGGAGTAGCTTGGGGAAATGATGGCTTCTTATAACATAGATTGTGACTGTCAATTTAGCTTGAATGCCCTAAATTACAACTTATCACCCCCCTACAAGAAAACAAGTATTTCTGAGATTTTCATCTCCTGTAGACCACCTTACAGTGTGTTTGTCCAAGCCTTGCATTTCTGATGTGGGAAAATGTAATGTTTACTGCTTTTCTGCCTACAGGTGCTTCTGTTCTGAATGATTGATGCTGTATTGGAAACATTACAGAAATACAGAAGATGCATCACAGCATGTCTTGTCATTGACTAATGATACAACACGCAAGGAATTGACCTCCTGCAAAATCTGTTTCACACTGCATTTTACAAATGTTGCATTTACAAATAATGACAAATTCAATTCATCAGGTCAGAATGCTCTCACGGTTGCACACAGTGTCACTGATAGGAGGGAACAGAAAATATGTATATAGTTTAATTGCATGGCATTTATTTCCTAAACTTGCAGAAGTTCATTATCCTAGCAAGAAATATTAGATTTTTTTGGACTGAAAATAAAACTTCCAGAGATACCAACAGCAGTCCATGAAAAGCAGACAGTTTGCTTTGCACATTTCTTTCAAGAGGGTGTTTGTTTGGTAGATGAAGGGAGGATTTAACAGTTATGGGACAAACCTAGAATTTATTTGAACTGCTGTTACGGGAGACGGTGTCTACTGACTTCACTAGGAGAATAAGAGCTGTGACAATACCTTAGTATTTGTCCTGATGTTTTAAAGTAGTCTTCCTCTTATCTCTGCACCATATTTAGACATGTTTTTGTCGTATGGCAGATCCTGGAATGTGGTGAGACTTCTAGTTTCCTCCTCTAAGCTGATGAATACATTTCACTCCTCCCTATGCATAACATAGGATAGCGTCCAAGTATGAAGTCATCTATTTCTTAGGCCATCTGCATCATATGCCTTATTTTAGCCTCTTGATATGTGCACGGGGCATAATCAGGCATCCAACTCTAAAAGTTCAAGTATTTCTCACCAGGGTGAAATGCAAACATGTCCTCTCCACTTCATTTCAGAGTAAACCAGGTTATCTTAAATTCTGTTTTATGCTTTTCACTTCTTTCCAGATTATAAAATATAACTGAAAAGAGCTGTTTGCTGACATATCAATGCTCAGATTCCTAGCTGATGTTTTCTAAACCTCACATGCTCCTTCTTGGACTTTGGTCCATGTCGGCTAAATTCCTTGGATTGCTATTCTTGGGTATAAATCATCCTTAGCATTGCAAAAGAAGATCCATTGAGAAAGGGATTATGTAGGACTAAGAAAAAAAAATTATTCTTGCTAAACACCCTGTGTTAGGCAGAGAATAAGGCTGGAGATAGGAATTAAGTGTTAATTTCCTAATCTTATATGAGGTGCAAAGCACCTGGCCATCAGCTAACAAAATGGGGAAAAATACAGTCAGCTTCTCAGTCAGCTACAGGAAAGGAGTTGGGAAGTGAATGAGTCTTTGAAGTTAAAGCTATTGTGAGGATTGGGACTTCGGGGCAATTACCCTGGTTCAGGCCACGGTGGGAGATGAGGCTCCCACTCAGAAGGGCAGGTAGCATCCAATTCACGTCTGAGAGGGGGCGGTGCTCAGCCATAGCAGGGGCCTTTCCCATTTTCCTTTTTCCTTACAGCCCTGCCCTGAGACCAGGATTGGCCCAGCCACAGAAAGTTTGCAAGAAAGTTTGCTTTTCTTGACATCTGCAATATAGGCTGATGCTGCTGAGAGCAGCTGCACGAACCAATGAATCGCATCAAGAGGTGCCCCCATCTTTCCCACCAAGCAGAGCACTCTCTAGCTGAGTTAGGCGATCATTCCTCCTTCTGTGGGGGAATTGTCAGCACTTGTGTGTGAGGTGAAGCACCGCAGATGCTTTCCAGACAAGCTCTTGAAAGTCATAGAAAGAAAAAGGGGCTGTGAGTCCATATATGGTCATCTTGGGTTTTTGCTCCTGGCTTTTCCCCTGGTCCCATTGCTCATTTTCTGCCTTTAAGCTTGCAGGTGGAGGCTCTGAGAGCTGGATTGAGTGGGTGCCTATAGACTGGCTGACTTGAGAGAAGATTTTCTGTCTATGCTAGAAGCAAGTCTGCAAATGCAGTCCCAGACAAGCCCAGACCCTGCCCTCTGCAGTGCACTGCCACCACCTATCCTGAGCCTGCCCTGCGGTTCAGTAAACAGTTATCTTCTGAGCTCATCCACACAGTCTCCAGCTAATCTGTTTGCAAGGTAGCCATATGTATGGGGCACGGGCAGATTATGGAGGTGATGACCTGACCACTCATACAGCTGTCTGTCAAAAGCAGCATGGACAGAGTCATTGCGTGACATATTTTGGGAGACTCAGATCAGAGGAATCCAATGCTAACGGGGTGGCTTTGCAAAGACTCTGCTGGATCATAGAGGTATTTAGCAGTTGGCAGGTATTAGCCTGGGCTTCCAAATAAAAAGGGGTTTTAAAGCCTGTAAGTTGCATGCAGAAATGGCCTCCATCTGAAGGGTGATGTGAAAGCAAAGCAGGACAAAGGTGTCTGTGGTGGTGTCGCTTGGAACTGGGAGCTGGAAGCTCCAGTCCTGCTCTTGCCTCCCACCTCACTGCGTGGATTACTTGGGAGAAAGCAACAGCCTTTCTGTTCCTCTGCTCCATCCACCGCAGAGCACACTGAGACCTCCTCTGGCTCAAAAAGCACTCTTTAAAACCCATAAATTGGCAGGTGCTGTTTAAAATATGGTGATGTCTGAAAGGCTGAACACCACAATTTGCTTTCATAGGCAATATTGGATAGCTTCAGACATTGTGCATAGCATGGATGTCAACAAATGCGAAATGAGGATATACTGCAGCATCCATTGCACGCTAGATTTGCCCTGTGCTGCCTGTTTGCAAACCCGTTCAGATGCCTGTGAGGATTTTCTGCTAATAAATCAACATGGTCTACTAGAATGTCTAAGGGAAATCCCTTTAATTATTGCCTGTGGGTCATTAACTTTAGCAAGAGTGACTACCCAAGCATGGGTAAGGTGTGAGCAGCCACGATGTGGAGGTGTGCACCTGAGGAAGAGAAGAGTTTCTGTTCTGCATGTTTAGGAGAAAGGACAGGACCGCCACAGTGACATGTTGAGGGTGAGCCTAGGGAGAGCATCACCGCCTCTGCTTCAAATTAGTAAATGAATTGCATTCAACACTTATTCATCACTCCAGCAGAAGCAGCTAACACAGCAGCATATAGTGCCTGTGAGGAAATAGTGGGGTAGTTAGGGTACCATGAGCTATGCTAATAACTGTGCTGATAGGATGTAGCACACCATGTGGGCTAAAAATCACTGCTAAGCAGCATGATGCATTGCACTCCAGGGAATTCCTGTGTCTAGGATCAGAGCAAGCTGTTAAATAGCCACAGACGCTGTATTCCTTTTCCTGACTTGCTGATGAGTTGTCACACTGGGTCGGGAAGGCATGGCTACAGCTAGCAGGTAACAGATGGAGCCCGCTGCTCCGGCCTTTCATTGCACTGGGATTTCCTGCAAGCTGAAAGCATCTGAGCTGAACACCAGCTTGGGGCACTCAGTGCAGCTCTTGTAATACACCTCCCGTTCAGCTGGAGCGCCAAACTCTTAAAGAAAGAGAGACCCTTCTCTTGGCAATAAGCTGTAATTTTTTCCTGGATTTGGTGCTGCTGTGAGGGTATGTGAAAGTATGCTCCCACATACCTTTTCCCTTGCACAAAAGCAACACAAAATGGGAAATGTGTTCTGAATCACTACGAAGGAAATGACAAAGAATTAATGTTAACAGCAAACTGTATTTTGCATGTCATTAGCCCTCACTGATATAATCAAGCCGGTTTTATTCCACAGATGCCAGCTTTGGCCTGTGATAGGATGAATAGATCTCCTGTTAATGAAGTACATACAAGGTACTGCTGCGGTAAGCGTGCGCTTCTTGCCAGAGCCCAAGGCAATGAATGTAGCATGGTAATTACAGCTTTGGGAGAGGTAAAGTTTTGAAGAATATGTAGTATGCAAGCTACAGTTAAATAGCATGGCTCAGCAGGGCTGGAGAGACGGTACAATTCTAGTCAAAATCAGTCCACGCATTCACAGGGGCTACCAGATTCTGCTCTCATTTACACTGTTAGAGACCTCAAAGTTAACAGCAGGATTTATTCTGAATTTGCACCTTTGGGAACATGGTCCTTTGTTTTTGCAAATAAACGTGGATAACGTGACTTAAGATGAATATATGTAGGAACCACTGATGGATTGTGCTCTCTTCCTTTTGGACAGGGGCAGGCATAATTCTGCAGTAGAAAAAGCCAGCTAGCATCTGCACTGACCAGCCAGATGAGCCAAAAAACTCTGCTCAAAACATCTCTTTGGGGTGAGTAGGTAGAAATCAGTGGGTCTGGTCCAGTCCTATGAGGACAGCAGCCCACACATATCCATGAGGAAGACCCAACTCTCATTCCCAATTCTGGTCAAAAGGAAGGGCCTCTTCCTCAGGCACATTAAGACAGGCCAGTGTTGCTATACTTAGGTGTTTAATGGGAGCCTTTTTTCCATTGTAAACTTCACATGAACCACTAAGGTAACAAGAGCCTGCATCAAGGGAAATGTGCTGCCCCTTGGGGCTCTGCAGGGGGTGAGAAAGAAAACAGCACGTGCTTCTGTGCAACAGAAAATCTTTATTGGAATAATATCCAAAGGATCCAGACTTCTGTGCTTGTCCTCCCCCAAACCTACTGCGTACGCTGACGGGACACAACGAGGAACAGCTCTGGCTCAGCAAGCTGAGGCAGGCAGCCCTGAGCCTTTCACATGACACCCCGTCTGCTTTCCTGTCCCAACAGCGGGTGTTAGGTCATCACAGACCTGCTCGTAGGAGGCGACGGGAAACCCAGACACCACAGTGAGGAATGTCTGCAGATGTGGGCAGAGGCCCAAGCTCAGGGGAACTGAGTTAGCGTTTGGTGCCTTGGGGGACCTGGTGAGAAGGGGAAGAGTGTACAGTGGCAGCAGACACAGGACAGCAAGGAAAGTTGGGAAGCATCTTCCAAGTAGAAGATCACGGCAAGTTAAACTTGGAAGGAAGGAGCAGCGGAGAGTGGTAGCGGGTTACCAGCTCCTGTCACGGTCCCTGTTAGACTTGGCTGTGGTGCGGTCATGGAGGATGGCATCCAAGTTAGCAGCACGATGACAGAACAGAACAAACTCTTAACACATTAATACCCAACAAGGCAGTTTGGGGAGGGCTCGTCTTCATCCTCCAGTCCTGGCAAGCCTTCAGATGCAGTATTTCCAAAAGCAGGCTGGGAAGGGATACAAAAGAAGGATGTTAGCATCCAAGGGACTTTTTCCAGCTTCCAGCTCTCGCCCTGGAGCGGGTTTCAAAAGCCCCGTGTCTTGAGAGAGCTGGGGTGTGAAGCCAGCATTGTGGCTTCTGGGCACATCTCAATAACCAGCTTTGACTTCATATAACACTTTTAGAAGGTGTTTCTTTTAACTGCTTATAGTGTAAATAAGGGGTCTAAAAGTTGTTTCCAAGTTGCTTGATTTATAAGGGTTTGCTTTTCCTTTTGCTCTACTTCAGCAATATCAGGAATCAGCTTTTTCTTTCCTGTGTACTGGCCAGCAGTTTTGCTGCCTCAGAGTGTGTGCAGGGTTTTTCACCTGTGGCTGACTGGAAGAGCAGGATACTGACTTGGAGAGACTAGATCTGGTCCTTACAATTTTTTTTTAAACCCAGTCACTCTACCACTCTGCTGCTAACTGTCCTCCGAACAACATTGATCTCTGTGGGATCTTCTAAGAAGACTAGATTAGGGAAGGATGCACATTTTGGTGTTGGAAAAAATAGCTGTATCACCAGCATGCCCTGTTCTATGAATCCTGTGTGGGTCTCCTATTGTCAAGTATGAGAAGAGATTTCTACCTGGTTTTTGAAAGCAGGATCTTGGGAGAAAGCTTCTACTGAATCAGCAGTGCTCATGCTGAGACACGAGCTCCTCATAGACTGGAAGGACTTTAGATGAAGGCAAGGATTTTCTGCTTTAATTTCTGGCAGAATCTGATTTAAATCTGGCAGGGGGAAGTAGTTTTATCTACATTTGAACCTTCCAGACTGGTGGGGGCATGAATTAGATTAGCCAAATTAATGACAGCCTCCAGGGTTGCTTATAAATTGCAGATTGTCTAAGGATCACCTAAGCACTTAAGTAAGCCTTGCACAAAGGGATTTTCTCTTGGCTGTCTGGCAGGTTGTCAGCTTGCACATGCACAGAGCATGTGGGGTAAGGGCGGAACTAGCTCTTTTGTTTTTAGGCCAGATCTGTCACCAGTGACTTCTGGTTTACAGCTGCCACTGCTTTGTGGAGGAATCCACTGAAAGCCAGCGTGAAGGGCATTGTCCATGTGCTTGTCAGGGGCAGCTTTGCAGGGCACTGGTGCAATATGCTTCTGAGTCACTGGATACAGACTGGACAAAGCTTGGAGACCAACTGGGACACCGATCAGATCTTAGTTCCCTGCATTCTTGGTTGATCTCCACATCCTTTTTAGCTGCTTTTCAGCAGCACAAACAAGTGCTTCTTTTTTCTCTGTAGGGAGGCAGTGACCTTGGCAGAGGGGAATGCATGCAGTCCACATGGCTCATTATGCCTTCAGCACTAGCTTTGTGCCCAGAGCAAAGCAACGGGTGCACTGCGGGGATGTGTTCATACAGAACTCACCCCCTCCAAGACAGGCACTCATTGCTCATATAACCCCATGTTCCTCTGTAAAAAGAGGATGCAACCCTGACTGCCTCCAGTGAGGTCCTGGGTGTGCAGACCTGTATCTGCCCTGACAGCAGACAGGGTTGGGTACACAGTCCTTCTCACCAGCTACTAAACCAGCCAGCCATTAACAAGAGAGGGCCAAGACTGCTAGAAAAGCTGCCAACCTGTTTTTCAGCATATTTGGGGCATGTTTACTGTCACTGTCTTTGTTGCAGAAAGGAAGCCCTGGAGATGAGAGCTGGACAGGATGGCGGCAGGGCTCTAACCCAAAACTTACCGCGTTTTTTGGGCTGGGATGCTGAGAGGCTTTCCAAGGCATAGGCCACCTCTGACCCTTCCTCAGTTGAGAGCTGATCCTTCAACTTCTCCAGCTGTTTAAAAACAAACAGCAGTAAACAAATGCCCCATCATGAGGAGCTCCACAGTGTACTGGCAAGCGCAGGGCGGCTCAGAGGCAGGAGGTACAGGCAGCCTGGCTGACACCATCACCGGGGAGGACAGGGTCTTCCCTGGAGCAGGACCGTTCCAGGAGGATCTGCCTTTGGAGCATTCACACCTCCTCATGTCCTCCTCTATTCAGCTGCTTGTTTGGTGGCAGCAGTGTAGGCACTCTCTGCTCTTGCCCCTGACCCTAGGGTGAAAACCCCTGTGGAGAGGAGGCTGTGCAGAAGGATATTGCACCATTAAGAGTCAAGTCAGTGGTGGGGCAGGAGGTCTCCATGCATCCACCCCCTGCAACAGAAAGCAATGCTTCTCCATTGCTCTGGACTCTCCCTCCCCTCCCTTCCCCCCAGCTCTTGCTAACTTCCTTTGGTTATAATGCGGAAAGTCCATGGTATTCCTTCTCCATCTGTAGCTACAGGAACATCTATGGCCATGATCTAGACTTCTGCTCTGGCAGTGTTGCTCCCAGGAAGCCAGAGCTTACTGTCCCTCAGCACTGGAGCAACGGGCTAGGGTAGGAACTGGCAGCCTCCTGTCTGGTATGCCGCACTGTGGTTTTTCAGTCTGAAGTGAAAAGTGCCAAGTGGAACCCAGCAGGACCTCCAGGATCCATCCCAACAGCTGGACCTGGCCTGAGAAAGGGTAAAAAGAGCTTCCACTGCTTGCGGGGTTTGGGGCACAGTGGGAGCCATGTCAAGGTTGCTGCCCACCTTCCCCTGTTCCCAGAAACTCGGTGTAGGATGGAGGTTCCTCTTGCTATCCGTGTGTGCTCTCCACACAGCACAGCACAGCACAGCAGGGCTCTGACCCCAGGGCTAGGGCCTCCCTTAGTAGTAAAGAGCCCACACAAAAATCAGTCTGGATTAGGTGTGCAGTGGCTATCCCTCTAACTTCAACCCATTATCAGATGCAGCCAGCTTGCAGGCAGCAAGACCTGCCCTTCTCCCTCCCTTTTCTTCCATGGAGATTTCCTTTGGCATCTATTTTTTTCCTGGCTTAGCCTTCACTGGCCTTTCACTGGTGGCAGAGGCAAGAGCTGCCTCAGCCTTTATTGCACTGGTCTATAGCCTTGCTCTCTTTTTATCTTTTCCAGCTTGTGCAGCTACTTAGCCCAAGTTCTGCTTTTCCCTTTGTGTGATACATGCTTACATTACAGCAGCAGAATGAAGAGTAGCAGAATGTAGAGATCGAAGAATAGGGCATAAAGCAATACGCACAGTTGTTTAGCTATTCATGCAACAGTATGCTTATATGTGTCTGTGCATTTGCTCCTCTCACCTGTTCAAGCTCTTCAAATTTCTTTGCCAGCTCCCAGTCTGCAAGAAGGGAGAGAGTAACATCAGTATCTGCATTGCTTCCCAAAGCTCAAATCCAAAACAGTTTCTTCATTTAACCTCTTCAGTGGCTGACAAAAGAAGACCTAGTTATCATTTACTTCCTGATAGTGATCTCCAAATCCATGGTAGCAGAAACAGTGACAGAAAAACAGGCTTTCTCTACTGAATTCTATGGGACTTTACCCTAATTCACCATTATGAGGGAGGCTTCTTTATCATTCACCATGCTGTAGGGGGATTGGCCCAACAAGGTCACGTACTGTGTGATACCAACTCAGGTGAACCTCTTTGCTGCTTTTTAATTTTCATCCTGATAACAGCAAATCCCTAATGCTGGCTTTTCTGTCACTGGCCTTTTATATGAAATCCCTTTGCCTCTTTAAGACTTGTTTACCCTCACATCACCCATGCAGGCAGAAGTCAGAAGACACAGATTTAGCCTAGCATAGCTTATTGCTTTGTAAGTCAGCAAACATCAGGGTTGGCAGAGTGGAGCAACAGGAAAAGTACCACAGCAGTGAGTGCATGGGTTTCGCACTTCTAAATGTTAGGGGAGCACAGGGACCTGGGGACCAGCCTCATAGATCAGACTTAGAGATCTCACGGCTGAGCAGTACTGTATTAGGCTGTCAAAAAATTATGCAGATGGATGAATGAGCTGCCCTGAGATATCCCATCCAGGAGAAGGGGAAAATTAGGTGCCTATGAATGGGATCTAAAACCTCCAGCTGAATTGGGAAGGGCCTGGACTAGCAATAGGGAAAGTTGCAGGAGGGGTTGCGGGATTTCAATCTCACTCCTCTTGAAGTCTGAGGTACCTTATTCCAGACTCAAACTGATGTCAAAAACAGTTGTGGGTTTTTTTTTTTTTTTAATAAGAAAGCTGAAAAAATGGAAAGCACCATGAAAAAACAAGCTCAGTCAAAGCTGAGTGACTGGACTACAGCAGTTCCCCCAGGAGGGAAACGCAAAGTGATCAGCTGATTTTAAATGCCAGTTTGGGAAAAAAATGCACTAAAATAAGCAGAAGAGCCAGGAAAGAGCTGAAGTATGTCTCTGCTGGGCCCCACAAGAAAGCCAAAAGCCAGCCCTGGAGCTGTCTCCTTTGTCTGCTCCTAATGTGGCAGCAGGCATTGGTCTGCATCTCCAACGGGATTTAGGACGTAATTCCCCCTGATTTCAGATAAGACTTCAGCACACAGACACATCACCAGACATGGGCTTTTTTTTTAAACGTTTGAAACTGAGCAGGAGGGTGCCAAGAAAGAGCTGACTGCCTTCTCAGTTTCTCCTTTGAGAAGGAAACAAATCAGCTGAAAAATCCTGAACATTTTCTGACAGATATTCATCCAACAGAAAAAGCAGCAGTTCCCAAGCAAATCCATTACATCAGGGCTCGGTTTGAGTGACGGTCTGGGTATGGGGATGGGCTGGGAGTCAGGAGGTGAGGGCTCTGTTCCTGGCACTGCCAGCAATGACCTCAGGCAGATTCCTCTTAAGCAAGTTTTTACATATCCATAAGGTAGAGACAGCCAGGACTGCATATCTACAAGTGAAAAGTGCCACTTAAGAGGAGATGATGGTGATGATGATGATGATGATTATTATTATTATTATTATTATTCACATTTTTACCTCTTTCAGAGTTTCAAGTGCCTATTTTGGCTTGACTTTCCGCAAACTGTAAGCTTGGCCAATGACTGCTATGAATAGAAAATGAACAGCGGTCGAAATTTGGAACAGATTATCTCAGGCAGGAGGAAGGAAGTTAATTTATGGATGAAGCCTTGAGAAACTGCCTGCTGTAAATCCTCTGTCTGTGCTCTGCTCAGAGATTCATTATATTCAATTGTCTGGCATAAAATGCAGCCTTTCCTCTAGGAGTAATAAGTGCAATAATCCATAAACCAATCATAAAAATGTTATTTCTTGAATGCATCCCCTTTGCAAGAAGAATGCCTTTGTTAGTATAAGGACTTGATTTATTTGTGTTTGTTTATTTGTCCCAGGATTGTTTAACCACTGCCTCACTGCATTAACAAGGGGCTGGGGAAGAGCACTGAGTGATTTTGACAAATGGATTTTCATAACAAAATTTTTGCTGGGCCGCGTTCTCGGCTGTTTTCACAGGGAAGGGCAGCTTCCTGCTCTGGGACCACCACATATGGCTCAAACCCTCCCCTGGCTGCGGTGGCCGTGGGAATAGCTAATCCCTGTAATCCATATGGCGCTTGTGATCGCAGTGCGTAGTGTCATGGAAAGCCCAAGTTTCTCTGCAGCAGGTCTGAGTTTAGAGGCTGTCGCAACATGCGGGTGGCTTTAAATTTGGTGCCTGTTCACAGAGCACTGACAGGAAAAGCCTCCACGTGGCCTGTCTTTGGCCTCCCCGCTGTGTGGGAAAAGCCCGTTGTCTCAACCTCTTGCAGCAGTAGCAGGGGCTCAGGCTCAGACGGGAGCTCCCACTACTGTTGTCCCAACCTACACCTGACTCTGAGGGATCTCAGCCGTGTGCTCTCTACAAAATCTTGATGCCGCCCCACTGCCCCGTGTCCTGACAAGATGCTGCTGGTTTTAGCATGCCAGCAAGACACTGAGCTGTCTCTCAAACGCACATGGGGCTGTAAGGGGTGTGGGTGGAGAGGTGACTCCCAAGGCTGGCCCATGCCCCAGGCGTAGTACACAATGTCTCAAGGATAGCAGGGGCAGAGGGACTCGGCAGCATCTCTTCTTGTAGTTATGTACACACACATGCTCCCTTGGCAGCTCAGCGTTGAGTGTCTGAGGATCTAGGGTGCATGGTTTTGGGCAGCTTTACATTGTATTGCAAAAGCAGGTCCAGGAGCCCCATGATGCAGAACACCTGACATTCATCACCCGTAGGCACCATACTGAGTGCTTCCACTTTCTGAGCAGTCGGTATTTCTGAGGAACCTGAGGAGCAGGTTCCTTACATTCATGCAAACACAGATTGAAGAAGCTGAGATCTCCCATCCCCTTCGCTTACCAATATTTTCTGGTCTCCGCCATGCAAGCTTCTTATTAAGAAGCAGAGTCAGCAGGGTGTCCTCGTGATTTGTGTCTCCTCTCTCCGGAAGCACTCGGTTCTCTGCAGCACATAAAATACACCTTTCTCGATCTCTAATGACAAAAAGGACAGACCCTCCAGCCCCCAACGTTAAAACAAAAATTAAGAAGGTTAAGAAGTGGAAGGAAAATGTCTCCTGTCAGCACTTTGTCGGGGTGGAAGGAGCTCAGGGGAAGAGGAAGATGTGTGAGCACAGAATAAAATGTCCAGGCAGTGAGGGCTGCGCAGTGAAAGGTGCATGATGGGGGAGCCCTCCCTGCCAGCTCCGGGCTGCTGGCCAGTCTCACTGCAGCCTCATCAGCATGGCTGGCTGCAGAGAGCTGGAGACATCACCTTGATTTAGACAGTCCCGACCTCTTCTGCAAGGTGGATGTAGCGGATGCTTCTGCAAAGCCAGCAAGCCACAAGAGCCTCTCTTAAAACTGCAGGCACTCCCTCGCTCACCCCATCCATCTTCCCAGGGTCGATAGAGGTGGGAATTTGCTCCTCATGAGGGCTGACATGTGGGTACCATAGCTGAAAAGCCCTGCAGCCCTGCACTCTATTCTTGCGCTCACTCAGCCTTGGGGCTGCTCTATCTGATTGCCAGCAGTATTAAAGGATTCTTCCTGAACAGAGCCAAAATGTGGAGGCGTTTAAAACGAGCCTCTTTATTCCCGAGGAAGCCTCTTACAGTAGCTGTAGGCCACACAAAATTTTTCTGTTTTCCAGGAAAAAACCTCCTCAAGCTGCTGTCCTAAAGCAGTTTGGGCCTCTCTGTGAGGCCCCTTTAGGGAGCTTTCTCAGTGGTTTTGCTTTAGTGGTTGTGGCTATGCCCTCAAATGAATGGTTGTGAAGCTCAAGGGGTCAGCAGAAACCAACAGACACAGGGGCTGGGAATAA